ACCAGCTTGTTGGTCAATTTGACTGAAATTTGTTCTTGTCTGGTCAGTCTGGCAATGCCCTAAGAACAGCTTGTTCCAAGCAAGCTCCTAAATGAGTTTATGTGCTGAACTGGCACCATCTCATGTCCTCACTACCGTCTCTGCTCCTTTCTCACTCCACCCTTTCAGGTTTTAGATTTCTATGCTATTTCTCAGAATAATTACTGTATTTCTCCCCCCAAAATTGTCTCATCCTGCTACCATTTTCCTTGGGGAGGTACAGCTGTCTTTTCTCCTTTAAAGAGAGGGCCTGACCTTTTTTCCAGGCTGTGCAAAAGCTGTGATATGTGAGCAGCAAAAGGAAAGAGTAGGATGGTCAGAATTCAAGCAATAGGGTATATAATGTCATAAACCTTAGTAAACTTTATTGCAGTTTTTAAAAGCAGTATTCAAGACTTATCTTTGTCATACTTCAAGCGTTGTACAGATCTGGATTACGTGGAAAGGCATGATGGATTTCCTGCTTTTCCATGGTTTGCAAATGCTCTGTGCTTTGGGAGTGCTGCATGAAAACCCTGTGCCTCGGATCAGGCATTTCTGAACGTGGGAAGTTTGAGGACAGATTATTTTCAGCCTCGTCTCTTTTCTGGCTCTGACAAGACTGTCCCTGATAAGCCTACAGAGTCAGGAAAGCTTCAGTGATTAGGAAAAAGCCTAATCCTAATGTTCTGCTATTATTATCAATGGGTTGTTAGAGGTTTTGAGGAACCCAAGACTGGGTTTTTAATTACTGTCCCAGACTCAGTGCCCAGCCCTGGGTTGTTGGCTGTGGCCAGCCTTCCCCAGCCCATGTCCCACACAGCCACATCTCCTTTCCCAGGAATCTGCAGAGTCAGCTGCTGCTGCCATGGGCTGCTGGGACTCTCAGGAGCCCTTTCTTGATCTTTCTTGCTACAGAGCATTTCCAGCCTCCCTGGGCATCCCCTCCAAGCCTTCCTGGCTGCTTTAAATCCCTCTTTCTGCACAGGCTGGAACGCTTTTAATGAGCTCCTGCAGACTCATCATCAGTTAGTGGCAGCTTTTCGGTCAGCAAGCGTAGGTGGGAGAAAACCACGTAATTCCTGTCATTGCTGTTGCAAAGCAGCTTGTGCAGGCAGCTAATGCTGAGTGCCCAGGCAGGCACTATTTCATTTTCTGCATGGGGAGGCAAGGAGCAATGTTTCCTTCTACCCATGGAATCTTTTTTTTGGCCAAGGTTCTCTCCTGTGATGCACGGATCAGTAGCCCCAAGGTTGGGGCTTGCTGACAGCCAGGAGCTACTGCAATCATAAATAATAATAATATTTTACAGAAGGCTTCAAGCATGTGCACTGCATCCCTCTGCAAACTGATTTTGTAGTGACTTGGTTTCATGTCAGTTTAGCAAAATGCTGAATGTGCATAGTTCCTCTTCATTTTATCTTAAAATAGGACATCTAAATAAGGAGCTCTGTAGGCCTTTCCCAGTCTCTCCTGGCTGTCAGCTTTCACTGAGCTTCCCCACACCTCCCACTGCATTTTTCTCCAGGGTAGGAAGAGACTCTGCAGTGTAAGTGGGATTATTCATGGGTGACAAATGTAGCCCGGTGTGACTGTGGGATATAGAAAAGCAGCTACAAACTGCAGAAAATCTGAGAAATGGAAGCAGGGTTTCTAGCAGGGATTTCGTGCCATAATGGCTCAGCTAGCAGAGGGCTGATCCTGTGCTGGGTTAAAATGCAGCCTGGTTTTAGCTTTTCCATGAGCTGCTGTTTCCAGTGGCACAGGGGAAGCTGGTGCTGCCTGTGCCACGGGGACGCTTTGCTCCTGCACTGTGTCAGCCAAGCCAGCCCTGCTCTCAACCCTGCTGAGGTTCCTCCTGCAGAACCACGTCAGGGCTGGGGTCTGTGGTGTCACCAGAGCCACTGAGATGTGTGGCAGCACATCCAGCACTGCCCCTATGGCGCTTCCTTCCAGCAGAATTCCTTAAAAAAGCCTCCATGCACATGGAGAACCTCACAGCAGACTTTACAAAGAACGGCTTCTTACTTGAAAAGAATTCCTAAATAAACTCCAAACCACGTTTTTATAGGGAAGGATGGTATTTGCAGAAAAGGTTAAAGGCTGTAACAGGCAGTATTCTCAGAGATAGGAATTCTCAGCCCCTGCAGCTTCCCAAAATTTGACATGTCTCTAACCCTCGAGTCCCCATTTCACATTCCCAATCAAGAAAGCCTCCGGGTTTTCATTTCAAAGTGCAACGCTCCACTGGCTGGGAGGTTCTCCCCTTGTAGAAAACAAAAAATGGTGAGGATTTCATTAATTATAAGGTTATGCTTAGCCCCAGCCCCGTGCCAGGACCTGTTGGTGCTGGTGCTGCAGGAAGGACCTGGGAAAGGCTTTGGGAGGCACCGGTGGAACTGCTGCCACTGGTGGGGGTCCGGCTGCACCCCCTGGCATCCCCTCTCCAAAATTCACTTTGTGCTGCTCACAGGGCAGCTGCCCAAGGCTGGAGATGTGCTGAACTCATCCCTGGGGGAACAGGCAGGAAAATGTGTGCCTCGAGCAGGTGTGAGAGAAGCCTTTCCTGCGAGAGTCTCCGAGGGGAGCATGGAAACACGAGCATAACCAGCAGTGAAAACTGAGTGGGATTGGTGTTTCTGGTGAGATGTCAGGAAATAGCTTTAAAAATGCTCTGCTGAGAGGCTTCCCAGCAAGCTTTTAACTATTCCCTCACCTGGGCAGATGGCTGGGATGGATTCCTCAGGCGTGACGCAGCACGGAGCTGCTCTGGAGCTGCCTGGGCTCTCCTGGCATCTCCAGGAGAAGGAGGAGAAGGAAGGGCAGCACCTGGGAACCTGGGAAGAGCAGCAGGAGCGCTGGCAGCAGCTCTGACTCAGCTCACCGTGTGGGCTGACATATGTAAATTGCCATATACATTTGTAAATGTTTTGGTATGCCTGAGCAAGCCAATATCTGGAATTAATTTTGTTCTTTTAGGAGGCAAGGCAGGGGAGCCCGTAAAGAGGATAAGTCCAAATGGATCACAAGTATGAATACTGAGGGGGTTTGTTCAGCTGGCTGTGGATGCGCATTTGCAGTTTGAATTTTCTGGATTTGGTTTTCCCCACCTCACTTGTAAAGGGACTTGGAGCAAATTGAACTAAGATCGCTCCAGCCTTGGAGCAGACTTGTAGCTGGTATTAAACATATTTTAGTGGGTTGTGCAATGCAGAATCCTTGCTCTGCAGTCTGTTTTAGTGTTTCTTTTTCTCCCTGTGCTTCTGCACTTTTTAATGTCAGCACTCTGTTACTGACTGTGCTATTTTGTGAGACGTGATGCCCTTAGGGGAGCTGGGGGTCGTTTCTCCATCACTAACATTTGCCTTTTGGGAGCAGCATGCAGGCTCACCATTTTACATGTTAGGAGATGAAAAATAACTTTTTTTTTTTTGTTGACATTGTGGGGAGGATGGTAGAGGTAGAATGCAGCTACCTCAGCTGCACCAGAGCCATGGTGAGGAGCAGCTCCTGCAAAAAACAAAAAAACAAAACAAAACAAAACAAAAAAAACCCAAAAAAACAAAAAAAGAAATGCAGTGGGATGTTGAATGCCAGCGGAGGGTCCAGCACAAGATATTCCTATTCCTTCCTTGGCTGTAGCCTGAGTGCAGGTTGGTCTGAGCTCACATCCCACCAAACTCTGACAGCTCTGCTGGCAGGCTGCACTCTCCCGATGGTGTTTGACAGTCCATGACAGGATTATAAAGAGCTGCTGCACCTACAGGCAAAGAAATGCTACAGGTCCTACAGTGCTGCAAATCACATTCAGGCTTGTGAAGCCCATCTCATCCAAAGGCTTCAACTGGATTAGTTATTTTTAAACCCCACAGAAGGAGTGTTAAAAATGTGCTTTTTCATGCAAGCAGCCTTTTTAAAAAAAAAAAAATCCGTGCTTTATGTTCTCAGGTGCTTTCTCATAATTTCCCCATGCCTTTGCTGCCTACACCCTGACACAGTACAAAAATGACTTTGGAGACAACACAAAGGGCTGTTTTCTGCAGCTTGCTTTTTGTAAACCTTAGGATTTTGCTTTTCTCCTCTGCTGAAACTCCAGTAAGTGTCTAAGATTTCGATGTCTGATTTAAGAGAGAATTACAGCTCCTGTGATATCACTGTACAGAGCCACTGGCTGGCACTTACTGATAGGTTATTAATAGCTGCCAGTGGGGAATGAAAATGGATGTCCTCTGGTTTTAGAGTAAAATTTTGAAGGGGTAACTTGCTGTGTGTCATGAACCGAGTCTCTCATGCGTGCAGGACAAATCTTATCAGCTCTTGCAGCTTGCAGAAAGGCTGGCTGTTGTATTTGTTAATGGTCTGGCTGGAATCCAGCACTTGGGGCTTTGGGGGCTGCCAACACCTTGCCCACAGGCAGGTGCTGTGGTCAGCCACAGATCCCCTCCCTGGCTCCTCTGGGATGCACTTAGGGCTGCTGGGCTGTGCCTAAAGCCAGCCTGGCTGAGCTCGGTGTGCCAGCTCCCAGGGCTTTGGGAATCTGGGATCATCAGAGGAGAAACCCCCCTGGCTCCTTCCCTAACCTCAACCTGCAGATCCAAAGCCATGAGGTGGCTCTGACAAGCTGCAGCGATGCCAATCCATGGGAAAACCTCCTCAAGGGGCTTTGAGCTGCAGAACTGCAGGAGCTTCTGCTCCCAGTTTTCCACCCTGGAGTTGATTCTGCATCTCCCTTCCTCCTCAAACCAAACTTGCAGGTGCCAGATGAGCAGGGAGGTGTCCCTCTCCTGGGAATGCCACAGGAGGTGTGTGCCCTGCTCTAGAGGGAGGGTTGGCTCTGTCCCCATGTCCCTCTGCCACTGCCTGTGCAGCCAAACCACCTCAGCCCTCCTTGGCTGCAGCTGCTGGCTCAGCTTCACAGGGCTTTTCCTACCCCCTTATCTCACAGCAGCCGAAATTCCAGCTAAACAAAACCCAGCCACAGACTTATTCAAAACATTTATTAGTGTTTAAGGAAAATAATAGTGTGTGAAAGGTACAGAGCTTTGTCCAAAGCCATATGCATTTTCTTTATTTACAAGCTTATTTGGCTGCAAACTCTACACGAGATAAAACTAGTATGTTTTTCTCCCAGAGATTTGGAATTAAGGACAGTTTGTCTTTTATTTATTTATTTATTATTTTATTTTTCTCCTTTTAGTTCAGCACTGTAAGTTAGGACAGCATTTTCCAGGGTTTACTGCTATCTTTTTTCCTGTAGGCGTTTTGCTTCTCTCGCAGTATTTTCATTCCAGAACAAGGCTCATTCCAGATGCAAAGCATAAAGGAAACATTCATACCTTGGCTTTTAAGCTAAACCTCCTTCATGAACAGCAAGTTCATAAGGAATGTTAATTAAAGCATCATACAGTATCTAAATGGACTTTTTTTTTTTCTTCTTTTTTTTTTTTATAAAGAATTAAGGCTATGTAGATGTCACAATAAAATAATCTCAGGTAAAACACACCCTATCTGTTAGATATGAAAGAAAGGTTTAACAATAAATAAATGATTTATGCTGTCAATAACATTATGGAACTGTATAAAACTATATTTACGCAGCTTTAAACATAAAAAAAAAAACATACTAGTGGCATGAATATATACAACACAGGTCATGACATACGTTTAAATTATCATAGCCAGCAGTGTTCTTTTTTTAAATGGGGACACTATAATAAATAGAAATGTTAAATATTTACAATAATAGCATATGTGGAATCAGTAGATGAACACATAAAATCTTCACACACAGAGGAAAAAAAAAATGATGCCTTATACAAAAATCCCTCCCACCCACAGCTTGTCCCCCCCCCATCCCAATTTTCATTGACTAAACAAGGGGAATACACAATTTTCCCCACAGAACCGATGAATACAAATAAAACTGTATGCATGCTGAGGTGATATGTTGACTGAGACATTCAAAGATGTAGATCTCTGTTTGGTTCCCATTGATGAATCAAGACCTCTAATGACAAGAGGGATCTTATTTTAGTTCAATGCAAGAACATTGGTAGCAAGTTGCTGTTTCTGTGGTTTGTGTTAGCCTTTTTTTTTTGTATTTTATTTTTTTTTTTTTTTTGTGCTAAAATGCTTGGATTGTCTTTTTGGTTTGAGCTTGTTCTTCGTGGTGGTTCTGTGCCACCAAGGGGGAGAGGACACTTGCAGGAAACCCACGGAGGCACATGCCAGAAACTTTCTTAGGGTGCCACCAGCAGGTTTTTGGAGCAGAGAGGTGGCCAAGAGCCAGGCCCAAACCTGGGTGCTCTGTGGGGCAGCTTGGGTGCCCCAGGGATGGCTGAGCTGTCACCAGCCCCATGGGGCAGATGCCACACTCCCTGTGCCACCACCGTGGTCTTTGCTGCTGCAGCACCTGGCCTGGTCCCAGCTCTTCCCGCTGAAACCAAATGGAAATTTCATCACAGAACTTTGCTAAATCAGGCAGGATCCAGGCCACGTCTTGAAGCAAAGACCTGGTGATCACAGAGACACCTTTTCAACTCAACTGTCCCCTCTTGCCTCCTACGTGGTTGCTATTTAAAGCAGTGCCTCCAAGTTCTGCGGGTGGATCCCTGCATTAAACCCTGAATGTAGCTATTAGGAGCCGTGCTCACTTAGCAGGAACTGAAATCTGAGTTGGAAATTGTAGCCAAATTCCAACACCCTCCTCTCCTGTTTATGCAGCTCCTTCCCACCATGCAGCAAGACGCACGTTCGTTCACTGGGTACGTTCTGTCTCTGCTGAACTGCCTTCCTGCCCCCACAGCTTTCCTCCCAAACTTTCTAAATGAGAAGGCTCCAATCCCCGGTGTGATTCCCACTTTCTAAGAAAACCTCCCTTTTTCCGCCAGAGGAAGCTGAGAGCTCACCCTCCTGTCCCTGTGGGTGCTGCAGCCTCCACTTCCAGTACAATATCTGGGAATATAGGATTGCAGAGCTGCAACCTGAGAATAACAATTGCATAGGGGGTAGGAGAGATATGGCCAAACACCTCATTCACACCTGAAACTGCTTAAAGACAATAAGCTCTTGACACTCTTCACCTTTACTAACTCGTTCTGTGGAGATTGGTTGTCCTTACCTGCACAAGAATTAAAAAACCCAAGTCAATCCCCTCTCCTTGTCTTTGGCATTTGGATAAACCAAGCTATAGGCAGGTTAGAGTGGGGCTCCACATCCCAGCAAACCACACCATACTGCTAAGGAGAGGCAGGCTCCTGATGGGCCTCCAATGCAGCCCTAAGAAGAACTAAATAGATGGGGATTTATAAGGTCCTTTGCTGTCTGAGCCCACACCTGCCCCTTTAGGCTTGGGCTGTAAGGGTGGAAGACCTGTATCACTGAGGGGGCAGATGGAAGCAGACAATATGCACAGGGTTTTCAGAGGTCCATGAGAATACTTTTGGGGGTCCTCCACCCTGTGCAAGTCTTAACAGTCACATTGCCTTGTCTGGAAGCTGATTACTTGCCTTTGAAGTGACTGGGTATGGTTCTGTGATCAGCAAGTGTCAAGTTGTTAAAAACTAACAGGGGGCACTTAAAACCAGGCAGCGTCGCCCAGGTGGGAGCAATGGCTCAGAAGTTACTTCAGAGAAAGCGACGGAGCTCCAGACCACACGGTTCCTGTGCCAGAGACGGGGCAGCTCCTTCATTAGAGAGCTTCACATAGAGAGCCCTGAGCTCTGGCATTCCCAGCCACAGGCAGAAACCAAATCCCCCTGGAATTCAGCCATCTGCTGTAAGGCTGTGCCCTGAACCTTTGGAGGTGCTAAGCCACAAGCAGCCACATGCAGCCTGGCAGAGCCCGCTTGGAACCTTCTCCCCTGCCAAGGAGACCAAAGGGAAAAAAAAACCCCAAAGAAAAAAAAACAAAACAAAACAAAACAAAAAACCCAAAAAACAACCAAAACCAAACCCCAAAACCAAACCCAACCCAACAACCCCCAAACAAGATCCTAAATTTCAGATGATGTCCGTTTCGTAATAAAAAAAGGGGAAAGAATTTAGCTGGAGACATTTTGCCACCCGAGCGCCGAGTTTGCTGGATCGATAACCCATTGCCACTGCTCTCCCTTTTTGCTACTATATACACACTGATGCCGAGGTCCATAGATATCTTGCAATGCCCTGTGCTTGACCTCTGAATGGGAAATGCTTTGGAATGTCCATAGACAGGAGGATGGAACTCAACGGAGGAGCGGGGGGGAAGGGGGAGCCGGTGCCTCTTTTCACCTCCGGATGTCGGAGAAGTCGGACAGTTCGTCTGCCCGGTCCAGGATCCCGTGGGCCCCTTTGGGCCCGTGGCCCCCAGCTTTGACCCGGGCGTTGGAGTGGCCCTTGGTACCTCTCTCTGCCTTGGCTGCTCGCAGGCTCTCCCTGTGCTCGGGCTCGGCGTGGGCCACCATGTCCCCACGGCTGGCAGCGGCCCTGCTGCCTTCCCCCGCCTTCTTCTCGGCCCCCAGGACGGCGTCTCCGTGCACGGCCGAGGTGCAGAAGCTCAGGATGGAGCAGAGGCTTCCCCAGTTCTGTTCACACTGGGCCTGGACGCTCCTCGTTATTGCCTTTTTCACCTCCTCGCCACAGGTGAGCAGGATGTTCACTAGGTCAACGTAAGGCCTGGAGGGAAAGGGAGCAGTGAGAGGGAAGTTAAAATCCATCCCAGGGAATCGCTGAAGGAGCTGCCTCACCCTCCCTGGGCACAGCAAATCCAGTGGTGTGAGTCCCTGGCACACCCTGACTCAGCAGCAATTCTGCCCACGTTAATTATGGAAAATCCCATATTCTAATCAGCCATTTCGCTGCGGGAAATGCACAGTGGCATCCTGTCAAAGCCTCTCTGCATTGATCTTGCTCGCTCTCCCCCTGGAGATAGTCTGGGAGAACGGGAATGTTCACCAAAGAACAGATGAGGTTTTGCTTGGCAAGTGGAAGAGCTGTCTCACACTTTCTGCCTCCATCTCTTTCCATACCCTCCCATCTTTGTTACTCAGGACACAAGGCAAAGGACACTTGCTCCAGCCCAGAGCCATCAGCTTCACCAAACAGGCTCTGCCTCTGGGGGAATGGCAGTACAGAGCATTCACCAGCCCCCAGCCTGCAAGAGGGAGGCATTTTCTCACCTCTGTGAAAGCAACAAATACTCAGCTAGAGATTCTCTGGCTTTCCTCATCATCTCTGGAGCACTGGGTGTTGATCTCCATCACAGGCAAGATCCTATCTGGACCCAGGATCTGCCTGAACAGAGCTCAGACAAATGGAATCCACTTTGGTGGCACTTTTTTCTTCCCACACCAAGTTTTATTTCTTCATTTCCTTACAGAGCTTTCAGTATCCACCTTTTCCCAGCTGAAGAAGGCCTCAAAACATGTCCTGGCTCAATCCCCTCTGTGCTTCCCACCCGCCCCTGAGTGCCCCCAAGGCACCAGCAGCTCGAGCACAGGCACTTGGGCTTCTCAGCCACAGGTCACTGAGTGCAGCAATTTTAAAATAGTTGTGGTCACAAGTTTTGTGGGTCAATATTGATGTTGTCTATTGACACAACAAGCTCAGCTGCTTGCAGGCCCAGAAGGACGTGCTTAAAAATCTTCCACGGCAGGAACCAGCCACAGCACAAGGGGAAAGCTGCCCGGGGTCAGCAGTCGTGGCTGTGTGGGGTGGGTGGTGGGGCTGCACCTCCTGGGCACCCCATCCTCCAGCTTTGGTGGCTGTGGACAAACCTAAATCTATTCTCATTAACTTAAGACAGAAGTGATGAGGAAAACCAACAGATTAAGATCAGTGTCTAACTTTACCAACCGCTTAAACTCATTTTGAATCACTAATCTTGGAGAGGCACCTATTCCTCCTATCTCAAAATATTTCCCATGGTTGGATTGTTCCTGCTGCTCAAAAAAAAAAAAAAAAAAGTTACTTGGAATGCAGCAGGGACCAATCTGCCAAGGCCTGTCACCACTTCCACCATAGCAAATCAGCCTGACCCCCACAGCTGACTCAGGAGGAGGCTTCACTGCCCGACCGCGACCGCGTTCCGAACACTCATCGGGAGAGAACAGTCAGAGCAAGAGAGAGAACAAGCCTGAGAGCTGCCACTTGCTTCTCTGCTCTTAGGTTTTTGTTTTAAATGTAAAGCAGGAGATAAGAGAGAGCTGAGCACGTTGCATACAAAGTGACCCAGCAAAAAGATATAAACCTCCCTCCCTCCCAAGAAATGAGTTCTTGAAATTGGGCATAACCTTTGCAGAAATCTTTGTAAGAAAAAAAGGTCGCTGGTATGACTAAAAAGTGGCTCAGCTGCCAAATATTTCAGGTATTCAGAGCCTGCCAGAGCCCTGTGGATTAATACTGGCCCATTTCTCCTTGCCTGTTTTACTTTCTGCATTTCAGCCGGCCTGACCAGAGTACCTGAACTGAGCACAAGGCTGCAAGTCAGCAGACGTGATTTTATTTCCAGCTCTGCCACACTTGCCTATTGATCTCGAACAAGTTCCTTAGTTCAAGAGCTTCAGAGATGGCCTCTAAATTTAGGGGAGGGGAGGAGGCTGGCTGGTTCTATTTGGGGAGTCCCGCATAGGAGAGCTGAGCTCCCACTCCGGGAGATGCTGGAGTGTAGGAAGCGCTAAATGAGCTCATGCAAATTATAGGTGTTCAGCTGAATGACCCTCTCTTCTCCAACCAACAACCCCCCAGCTCAGCTCCCCAGAAATAAGCGGCTGCCTCTGAGCATTCCTGCTTGAGCCTGTTCATAAAATAAGGATAACTCATTCCTCCTCAGACAGGCTTTTGGCTCACACGGTTCTTTTCATCCCCAAATGATGGGGGGGGGGGTTAATTGGTGCCAAGTACCCAATTTATAGCTGCTGACACAGCCCAGGCAGTGCTCAGAGAGGTGCTGCTGGGCAGGATGGAGCCCTGCTGCCCTTTTCCCTCAGCCCTGGGCACAGCAGCTCTGCCCCCAGCCACGCCTTTGATCCCAGCCTCAGGAATGTCCAAGGAAAGGGACTTGCCTTCGGGCCACCATGTCCAGCTTGAACAAACCACAGCACAAGGATTTATGTGAGCAAATTGGCATGGAAGCATCTCTCTGCAACTGCAGCTGAAATATTAGTTGGGGGTGGTTTTCAGCAGTAAAGGAATCAGAGCTCCTTTGGGCAGTGAGGAAAAGAAAATGCAAGGCTAAAATTCCCAAAGAAGTGATTCTGCAAAAAAAAAAATTTGTCTCTCATGACTGCTGGGATTTGGAGTTTCTGTGCTAATATCAAGGCACAGAGGTGTGGTAGGAAGATGCTCTAAGGTTAAGCCTGATGCCAGGCTGTGGCTCAGCCTTCTTGTTTCAGGAGTGAGACGTTCACCTGCAAGAAAAACAGGCTCTGATTTTTGCATTTGTGCACAAAGAGTCAGTGCAAACAGCTTGTGCTTGGTTTGTTGCTGTCATGTAGCAGCTTTGATCAATTCCAAGTAGGATTTGTGCCTGCCATTCCTTGGAGGACAGCTGTGCTCCCAGTCAGAGGAATGAAGTCCTCAAAAATCTGACTTGTGCCTTCATTTTGTGCAACCCCATGTTTTATTAAAAAGCATCTGAGATTAATAAAGAATAAGATGAATGGGAGATTACCTGGGGGACTGCAGCTCTTTCAGGGACAATAAACTACAAGACATTTCAAAGTATGTATTTAAAGAAGAAATTACCATCTTGCTGACAACTTTGCATAAACCCTCTTCCCCCTTCTCTAGTTGTCACCTATAATAGGATACTGAGGTCAAAATGATGTCTTTGAGCTCAGAAAATATAAAAAAAAGCATAGTGAGATGCCTCGGGGAATGGCAGACGCTGATGGTCTATTTGCCAGAGCACCAAGTGGACTGGTACATCCAACTCCAACTCATTTCACCCCCTTCCACAGTCACATCTCACCCTTGGTACACAAACTTCAAGGGGCCCTGCAAAGAGAGCTTTACCTCGGTGCTGTACATGGGAAAACAAGAGGTGCTTAAGGCCAGAAGGAGGTGAAACAGCTCTTGGGCAGATGCACAGCCCACTGGCACTCCTGGAAGGAGCTCCCACGCTCTGACTGCACCAGCACGGAGGCACTTACTCATGCTGCAGCAGGTCTTTGAAGTGAATCATCTCCACAATGACCTGGACGTTCTCCTTGGCAGCAGAGCAGAGGTCATGCTTCAGGTAGCACTCCCGCTGTAACTGGAACACCATCTCTTTAATGGCAGGGCACTTACGGCTGATGCAGCTGAATTTATGCCTCAAGGCATGAGCCTTACACTTCAGAGCGTCTTTAATGAAGGATTTTCCCTGAGAAGGAAAGAAATGGAGTAGGTCTGTATTTTTGTCCATTAAGCACAGCAGCTGATTTATGCCCAGCCAGCTGCTTCTCTGCAGGACAATGTCAAGGGTTATTACAGTGCTAAGGATATCACTGCATGGCTTTCCTCTTCTTCTCTGTTTCTCTGCCCTTAAAGACCCTGCCAAGTCACCCAGCTTTGCTATCCCAGTGGACCTGAAACACCCGGGGCTTCCTCACTGCTGCTCTGGGTTTTCCTCTGCCCCACCGAGGGAAAGAGCAAAAGGAAACACCTTGAAGTAATTCAGCACTGGAGTTACTGGATTAATTTGCTTCTAGGGTGGAAGAACAAAAGGTTCACACCAAGGAGAGGGTATCCTGCCATGACTGAGCTCCTCAGGACCACAAGCAGATATCCAGTCAGTAACTCAGTAACTGAAGGTTTGTTTTTTTTTTTTTTTTTCATTTTAAAGTTAGTTTTCAAACTCAGAGACATGTATGGACAATCTATATGCACATGCTGTATTCCCCAGCTATCAGTAGTTTCTTCCTCAGAGAGGGACTCAAATCACCACTAATAATAATAATCATCATAATAAATCCTACAGTGTCTTCATGCAAGAAATTCTAAGTGAGATTAAGAAAATCACACCAAGAAGCTACAAATTAAGGTGGAGGAAAGCTGCTTTAGCAGCATCTCTTTACCCACTGTGATTCCTTCACTCAGTTGCTTGGTGGGCATCAAACCTCTCCCTTCCTTTCCTTTGTTATTGGAGCCTGCAGCTCCAGCTCTGCTCAGCCCCCTGTGCTTTGCTGAGAATAGGCCCATGGAGGTCTCCTGCACTGCCTCCACCTCTTCATCAGCCTCAGGTTCTTTTATGCAGGTACTCCATGAAGACCAAATCCTAGCTCCCCTTTATCCCAAGAGTGCACTGCCCCAGCTCCACTGACACTAAATAAGATTCACCCTGACCTGCAAGCAGATGTTGTCCCCAAATTGTTTCAAGCCAGAAATGTTTCTTGCTCATCAAAGAGCTGCTTCACCCCTTTCTGTTTCCCATACCAAAGGCACTCCCTTGCCCTTCCCTTTAGGAACAAACACACACAGCACAGTAGGCAAACAGGGGTGAAAAAGAGAATTCTTATATAAACCCAAACTGACATCAATTCTCAGGTTTCAGAGCAGAGAACAGAAAATGGCCAGTGTTAGTCTTGTCATTTAATACAGCTTGAAATAACTGGGGATGATACAGAGAGGAGCTGTGAAAAGCCATGTCATAGCAGAGGCTAAAGTCACCTTCATGTTAAATAAAGCTCCAGGGGTTTAAATCTTCTGCTCTGGGGACAGTCTGGATGTGAGACGGGCTGTGTTTGACGAGCAGCATCAATGGCTACTCTCAGCCTCCACAGGCACCATACCCTGGCATCCCAACTCTTCTTCCCTACTCCTTTGGTCAACTGACAGAAATATTGTGCAAAAATAAACTAGTGTTTTCTGGAAGCCACTTGGAAATTAGGTTGAAGGTTTTCAGATACCCACAAAAGCAGCAATTCCCATTTTAATGAGTAGCCAGGACCTTCGTACATCCTTGAGCATTTGAACCTCAAGCTCCAGCACTTCAAAGAAGTGCTCCCTACTGGGTGGTCCCACCACCCCTCGTGGGACAGGCTGCATCCTGAGGACAGCTCTACTTTGTGCCACGCTTTTAGCAGTGCCATGGAGCTGGTGCTTTTAGTCAAGTTATTCTGTAAACTGCCTGCTCAGGCCAAATGCCGCTGGCCTGTCGGAATGTTCCCTTCCCTCCACGCTGAAATGGGAGAGGAGGTTTACAAGACATAATAACAGGATGTCTCAACGATGCATAAACGGTCTGGGGAGAAAATGAAGGAGACAAACTTAATACCACATACCATGGAAGTAACGTATTTTAACGTCAGCGCTCAAACTCAAGGCTTGCTTGAGTACAGCAGCTTTAGGAGGTTGCCTGGGCTGGTTGTGTGCAAGTCTTGAGGGCCAACTTTAGTAACTGCCTGAGATAATTCTAAATGAATTGGGAGCCCAAGCTGCATCTCAGTCGGCTTTGAACAACCATGGTGTAGAGGCTTAAGCTGCCCAGGTTTTTTAAACCCATTTTTGGCTCCATGAAGGGCTCTGCTGGAGTTATCCTGGGCACAGGAGGTGGAAGGGATATCCAGGCAGCTGCAGCTACAGCCAGCCTGTCTCCTAGGACAGGTTGCTGCTTTATTACTGTCCTGAGGTCCTGAATCTGGACCTTTCAACCAAAAAATTCCTAGTGAATCATGACAAGTAGACCGGCTCTGGGAATTTATTTGTGCAAAGATGTGTTAAGGAGCTGCAGTACATGCCAAGTGTGTGTTAGAAGCAAGCAGACAGGCAGGACATCTCCCTCCCCTAACCTGTGTTACCTGGGCGTCGAATTTTCCAGCGTTGTGCAGGAATGTCATGCAGATCTCGTGTAAGCCTCGGATCTCACAAGAATTGTTCTCAAAGCACTCAAACACTCCACATCCCACATCGCCAGCATTTACCAGGCAGTGCTGGATTTCAGCTAAAACGAGTATTGGTTAGAGTTAATTTGAAGAACTCTTCACAAGAACTGGTGGTGGGTAGGGAGACAGAGTTGTTTTGCTACCAACATCAGTTCGAGAGAAAAATGCGTGACAATGGTTAATCGTGCCCGTTTTTCACAGGAATTGGGCCAAAACTTGGGTGTATTACGTTATGAAAGTGATATCCAAGAAGTAAATGCCAAATCCACTATGCTTACGTCAAATTATTTCACTTGAGAACTGTCTCATGCTCTTGAATTCCTCAGGAGCAAAGGACAGGCGTGATTTTTGCTCTCTGGCTTGTGCAAAGCCCCCCCAGCAAATTTAAGTGCCAAAATGAGAAGTCCAGGACCCAGCCAGCCAAAATTTTTCATTTTTGGTACTTTGAGCAAGTTTCTGGTCATTCAGCACAACGTTTTTCACAGACCACTGGGTTTTGCCTGTAAGGATGTCTGTCAAGTTAATGGCAAAACTCCCACTGATACGTAAAGTCCTTTGCACCAGGAGCTGTATAAAAATGCAACTGGGTGCTCAGCTATGCAGAAATCAATAGAAAATGTTTATATTTATATATATAATATATAAAACAGATATACTGGAGCTAGCAGTTACATATGTGTTTATTCTGCCCTTTCAGATGTTATGTAATACCACAAAAAATGCTGTCTAATACTCACTTTCAAAAAAAACCAAAAACCCCCAAAAAACCAAAACAGAACCAACCCCACCAACCCAAAAATCTAATTCTTAACATGACAGCTTCTGGTCCTTTAAAAAAAATGGATGTAGTAGTACTGCCAGAGGGAAGGTGGTTGCTCAAAAAGCCTGGGGATAAAGTTAAACAGGGGCAGCTTTTAGACCAGAACTGAGGATGCTAAGAATTCCTGTACTCTGTGCCCTGTGGTACCTTTAATTAAAGTTCGCCCTTGGGAGCCAGCCTAATCCCCCTGGAACCGCAGCGTGTTTCAGCCATCCCCAGCCTCCCCCTCTGCCATGCGGTCCATTTGCAAGTCTTCACAGCAACTTTCGGTCTAATTTCCACCCGCTGCAAGGCAGAGCGAGGAGCCGCGGGTGGAAACGCGGAGCCTGCCGGAGTTCTCACGACCCACCCGCCACCAGCTCAAACCCAAATCACTGCCGCCGCACTTTTCTTTCTTTTTTTTTTTTTTTTCCCACCTTTTTTTTTTCTTTCTTTTTTTTCCCTTCTACCTGCCCTGAAGTGCATCTGGGGGTGGCAGAGGGGTGGGATGCAGGGATTGTGTGATGCAGGGAGGGAAAGGTGCGCAAACCCATCCGCACCGGGGTGGGGGGGAAGGGGCACTGGAGCTTTTTGTGGAGCGCTGCGGAGCCGGGCGCTCTCGGGGCCGGGAGCGCGGCTCTGGTGCTTGTGTTGGCATCCGGATGCAAACCCTTTGCCGGGATCACATGTCCTGGCTCCAGCGTGCTGAGAACTGCACAGTGCCGTGATTCACATGTGGCAGTCCCTAATGGGCATTCGTGCATTCCTGCTCGTGTGTGTTTAAACACGCCTCGCAGCACGGAGAGTGTTTAAAAAAAAAAAAACACAAAGAAAGAAAAAAAAAGAAAAAAGGGGGGGAAAGGGGGGGCGGGATGAAGGAGGGGGGGGAAGGGAAGCGTCTGGATCCCGCGCTCTCTCTTTGCACGGCTGGGAAGCGATCCAGCCAAGTGCACGCCCCAACTCTCTCTTCCTAGGCAGATAATGCCCGGGGGAGGGAGCGCGGGGGGCGGGAGAGGAGGAGAGAAACCCCCGGCCCGTTGCATCATTGCCCGGCTCCCTCCGGAGGAGGCAGAGCCCCGGTCATCCCCGGACCCTCCCGGCTACCCCCGGCCCTGCACCCACTTCGCCGAGAAACTTTCTCCTCCCCGGGCTCGCAGCATCTCCGCGGGGCTCCGGCCGCGGGGCCGCGGCTGTGCACGGGCAACACGTGCTTGGCAGAGCCGGGGCTTTACAGGTAATTCGAGCGAGCACCGATTTCCTGCGATGACTTACGCCTGACAGTCGGACAGCGAAATAAAACGCCTGTCACAACTCGACGCGGCTGCAGCAGCAGAAGCAGCAGCGGCGGCGGCGAGGGGAGGGGGACACGCAGAGGCCAGCCCGGTGCCCCCCCGGCCGTACCTGTGTTCTGCAGGGACAGGCGCCCCTTCTGCTGCGGGGTCCTGTCCTGCGGCCCCTCCGGCGGGTGCGTGGCCTCAGTGCCCGCGGCCGCCGGGGCGCTGGCCAGCAGCAGGGCCAACAGCAGCGCCAGCAGCAGCGCCGGGGCCACCAGCTTTCCGCCGAGCTCCGCGCACATGGTCGCGCCTTCCCCCCGCCGCCGCCGCCGCCGCCGCGTCCTCCCCCGCGGGGTGCCGCACCCGGGCCCAGCGCGCTGCTCGCCGCGGCCCCGCGAACCGCATGTGCCCGGCGCGGCGGCGAGCGCGGAGTGGCGGCGGCGGCGCCGGAGGGAGCCTCAAATATCCCCGCCGAGCCCCGGTGTCACTCGCATGAGGGAGCCGAGCAGGTGTCGCTCCGCGCCGCGGCCAATGGCAGCCGCCGCCCCGCTCCGCCCGCCCGCCGGGGGCCGGCCCTGCCCCGCCGGCAGGTTGCAGCCGCCCGCCCCCCGCCCCACCCGCGCCGCGCCGCGCCGGGGGATGGGGCTGCGGGGGGCTGCGGGGGGCAGCGGCACCCGCCGGGGCGGGGGGAGGGATAGCAGGGGGAAAAAAATGATATTTAAACAAAAAAGGTGAAAAAGCGGGATTTTGACACGCTTTGGTGGGAGGCGGCAGCCAGCGGCCGCTTCCCCCACCCCCTCCTCGGGCAACTTCGGGGCGCTCCAGTCGCCGCTGGCCTTGGCGAGGAGCAGCGGGGTGCCCGTGCCCGGAGCCGGCTGCCAGAGCCGGCCGTCCTGCGGCACTGCCGCCTCATGGCAAGACTTGATTTCAAAGAAAAAAAAAAAAAAATCCCTTTCCGAAGCAGCTATTGCAATGACTTTCTTGGAAACCTTCCACTCCCTCGGTTCCCCCACCCTGGGATTTTGTACCACGCTTGCTGCGAAGGGATTTGAGCCAAATACATCACTTGAGGGGGGAAAGTGGTACCCTCGGTGCGCACTCGGATGCCCCCTTAGAACCCGAGCACCGTGGGGAGAGCATCACCCTTGCAACCCCCCTGGGCAGCTCTGGCTGCTCCCTTTTGTCCGGTAGCTGGAGCGGGGTGGGTGGGGGGGACACCCACCACAGCACGACGTAGGAAAATCCGTAGCAGGTGATGAGAAGTGCCGCGCTGGCTGGGGAGGGGCGAGCGTGTCTCCCCTTGCCCTGCCGTAATGCACATCAGATGTTTCATCAGACCCCGCCGGCCCCATGCGCTCCTGCCCCCCCTTTTCCCCTGCAGCCCCCGAGCCCCCGGCAGTGCCGGGCCGCGCTGTGCCGTGCCGGGGGCGGGGGTCCCGCAGTTAGGAATGTCTCCAGCTGCTGCTGCCGCCCGCTTCCTCACAGCTGTCAAAATGCACTTGAGGAAATCCACTCACACCTCCCCGAGCAAGGGTCTCCTCGGCGGGACGTGACACCGCGCCGCAGGACCATGGCTCCACGGCTACGCACCAGCAGGCACGTCCTGACACCCCCTCCCAGCCCCGGCCTCCCCTGCTTTTGTCTCAGGCCCACGGGGTTTGTGTGCCGAGCCTGAGCCGTGCGAAGTTTTATTTTATTTTATTTTATTTAAATCCTTCCGGAGGGTTTGACATCGCAGCGTCCTTTTTTTTTTTTTTTTTTTTTTCTTTTTCTTTTTTTTTTAAGGTTGAAATTCCTAACGGCGGTGCCCAGCTCGTGTGGAAATTCCCTTTTATCAACATGCTGCTGCTGCTGTCTTCGGAACTGCAACTTGCAGCTTTCCTCTAAGGAGCTGGCTGTGCCAGTGTGGATTGTCTGCAAAGCCCCCGTGCCCCTGGGATGGGCTCTGCCCTTTTTGACAGCAGGGCTATTAAAGGAATAGGTTTTTCTTCTTCATTTGTACCTCACCCAGAGTGTCTGGCCCTTCTTTTGTCCTTGTTCTCTTACTATTTATACTGCTGAAGAGTTTTGCTATTTAATTGCCTTTGCTAGGTCTAACTTAGCTTGAGCTTTCAAAGACCGAGGGCTGAATGAGTTGAACTCGGGCAGGAGAATTTAAGGGATGGCAGTTTTTCCTCTGTTGTAGAAGATAACATCCAGTACACTGCTTTTAACCAGCGAGTTTGTATTATATTTATATAAAATATTTTTTTCCCTGGCGTTTGGCAAATGATGCTTTCTCATAATGCTGTTTCCCTGCTGCTTTCAGTCTGATGTCCTCCTGCAGCCATTCCTCATCAATCTTTCTGCCTCTTTTTAAAATTACAGTTTTTGGACGTGTTTTACCCTTTTGACTTTTGAATTCTGTGCAGTCTCCATCCTCCAGACCCCACGTTCCTCCATCTGCTTGATTCCTCTAGTCAGCTCTCCTAATTTCTCAGTCTGTGTCCTACAAACCCCGCAGCCCTGGATGCCTTAGTGGGCTGCTCCTCCTTTTCAGCCCATATTGTATTAATCGCTGCTATCAAGGTTATTTTAACACCTTTTCCTTACCAAAACCGTGCCTAAAATAGCCCCTCCTCCTGTCACTTTGGGGAAGGAATCTGCCGGCTGTCAGCACGTTGAGCATTTCCCATCTCCTCCTGCTCAGCCGAGCTGGGCAGCGGGTGGCACTCAGAGCTGCGGGATTTCCCTGCTTTTCTCTCTCTCTGTCACTCCTCAGGGTGCTCCTGGGATTAGAGGACCTGGTGCCATCCAGCCCTTCCTTAGGGATCAGGGAGCTGTGGCTGCACTTTGGAGGTGAGTGCTGGGAGGGATCCACAGGTCACGCTCCAGCAGATCTGGCGTCTTTGGGAGCGTGGTGTAACTCTCTCCCTGGCAGCACCACCGACTGCCAGGTGATTTGAGAGAATAGTTATCAATTCCAGTGATTTTGGGGCTGCTTTCCAGGGCACTTGGGATGCCTGAATCCCAAAGGCACTGCAGCTTTGCTCCAGCACTGGGAGCTTGTGTGGACGCAGGAGCCTGACTGCAGGATGGTGTCCTGCTGCGAGGCATTTGAGGACATATTTGAGCAACAACGCTTGGAGAGAATCATAACTCCTTCCAGAAGTTCTGGACACCTGTTGGCTTTCAGGAATACCCTCTGAGCTGCCTTTAGTTAACATGCACAGGCTTTTCTTTTTAGGAGTGTTTCATAACTCGATTGAGGCTTCATATGCTCAAGCATTGGCACGAGCGTTTTGCAACTGCCTTGAAATGGGAAGCATTTAATTGTTTGGCGTCTTTAGGGAGATGAGCTGCCCTCATGACTATTAAGAGGGCTGTGTCCCTGCAAGGCCGTTGCAGGCAGGTGAAGGCTGAGGAATGCTGTGCAAGAGGCTCCAGCACCTCTTGAGAGAGCAAGCACACCCAGTTCTGAAGGACAGAGAGGCCGATGACTTCAAAAGGGAAGAGGATGCTGCGGGGAAGGTGTGCCAAGGTCTGCATTCTGGGCTTTCTATCTGTGACTAAACACATTTCACACTAGAGTTAGAGCGAGCTGTGCTGTGCAGCCCCAGCAGCGCAGTGGGATTTCATCAGACTCCAGAAAATAAGCAAGACAGGGGAATTTGGTGTTGCCTCTTCTCCTGGGTAATTTTCCCACCTCGAGGCTTAGTGCGAGGTGCTGACTTGCAAATGACACATCATTACCAGGCCAGCCCAGAGCTGCAAAGCCCTGCTGGGAACGTGGTCAGGAGATGGGGGGGAGCTGCCTCTTGGACTTGGTTCCTCCTGGTGTGGGACCTGCTCTGGGAACATGTTGATTTAATTCCCACAAGCTGGTTCTCGGATGGTGCGAATAAAGCTGCTGACAGTGACTGAAATGGGATTCGACACTGGAGAACCTGTTAGGCTCAGGAAATGTAGGTCTGTTGGGAGGCATCAAAGGGCTGTATTTTAAGCCACTTTTCCCCTCTCATCATCGATTTTGAATTTCTGGTAACTAGTTTTTATGAGGAACGAGCAGAAGTTGACAATAAAGTCACAGAAAATGAAATGTATGAAACGCCAAAGCTGATTATATTAAAAATGACACAGACATTCTCTTCCTGATTGCTTGTGTAAAAATCATGTATTTGAGAAATGTTCTCAATGCGTTATACACAGGTATAAAGCTGATGTGACTTCTTTGATAAAATATGAACTATTGGAAAGATTTTTAAGAGTCAGAAATGCTGCCGAATATTTCAGTATTTAGAGCGGCAGGAAACCACTCTGAGATATTTTTAAAACAGGTATTTACTCAAGTAATTGGTTACTTTTAATGTGGAGTAAGACAACCTGGTGCAGCTCTATTGGACTTGACATAAAAGACAGGTATGTAATTTGTGAGCAAAACAGGGTGGAATGTACACATTGTACCTGGGGAGGTATTTCAAGAAAGACAACTCCTTGAGACAAAAAGCCAAAACAACTGACACGCCGGGTTACATGCCAGAATTGCTTATTCCTCAGTTAATCAGCTGTGTAATGAGTGTCCAGAAACAATCCCTTCTGCCCAGGTAGTTTAAGTTTCAAACTTCGTCAGCTTTGTGGCCGTCATAAAACGGATTACATGGAAATTGGACGAAAAACACATGTTTCTGAGAACATTTTGGTTCAAATAATAATAATAATAATAAAAAAAATGTGGCAATGCCTGTGCCAACAATTTACTACAGAATATCTGAACCAGATGCTGCTAAACTATAATTCCAAACAATTTGCCAGAATTATATATTTACTTTATTCTTACAGTCAAACTGAAGATATGCATGTTTTCTATTACTGGTGGATATAAACAAAAATGCGATGCGATTACAACTCATATCAGGCAGATAATGCCCAACAGTCAGGATCTCTGGGACTACTGCACGAGCTTAAGAAAAACTGGAAGTTCTGTTGGTAATTATGTGTGACAGGGTCATCAAAATGGGATTGTTCTGACTGAGACACATCAGACTGCAGTCTGCTTAGTCACCACACAAGAGTTTTGGCCAAAAATCATCCATTTCTCCCTTTTTCTCACAGTAGTACATTTTGTTTTCTGCCCTGAGAGAACGGGGAAGAGATCTGCAAGACGTGGAGAGTTACATTCTTAGCTAAAATAATCTGTGGAAGGGTCTCCTGTTAGGAGATACCTGTAGGCCATCTCCAACTTGCCAGTTCATATGCAGATGAGCATAAGTGATGGTTGAAATTACAGACCCTGATGTCAGAATCGGCATCTGGCACGGACAGAGTGAGTTTTAGCAGGAATTTTTATGACATTGCATGTCATTCAGGTTATGGAGGCTTCTAGCTGGCACTCCCACGAGCTGAAACAATCTTTACCTACTGTCAAGAGGCTCTCAGAAAAACCTCAAATAATTTCCTCGGGTGAAGTGGCTACCTCAGGCAGCTGCAGGCTGACACAGAGAAGTGCTGAACGTCCTGTTACAGCCCCGTTCCCAGGGGGGATCAGCAGGGAGAAAAATCCGTCAGAAAAAAAAAAAATGGAGAGTTTCAAGAAGCAGCTTTGATTGAGAGAATTGTTCAGCAAAGTCACCAAAACCGAATCCTCCTGAGTGCTCTAAAGGAAAGAGGGATCTGCAAAAGATTTGCAGTGGAGTCTCTGGTTTCATCCAGACCACGGCCTGCTGGGATGCAGCTCTGGCTCCCAACCCAGGGCTGCAGCGTGGGATCCAGCTTGGAGGAGCGTGGAAACTCCTCACAGCTCTTCTGCAGAAACCCTGTCTGATGCTGAGAGAGAAGAGAGCAAAAAAGCGTTTTCTGGGTTCCTCACCTGAAGACCCCATGGCACATAGAGCATTCTCTTTGTTTTATGTGATTCAGGGTTAACACGGGCTCAGTTATGGGCAGCATCAAATGCAGAGGTGAGCTGGGTTCCGTGGGCAGCACAGGATGGTTTTGAGTTTTTGAGCCCACCGAATCCTGAA